TCCTTGGGTCATTGTTAAGATTCTGGATGGTTATCCATGTTTTCTTTCTGATGTTGGTCATGTCCACGCTTTCAATGAGATTCTGCCATGACTTGTTTTTTCTCCTTTAGTGCAGAGACCAGTTCTTCAAGAGCTGTGACGGTATCCTCAGAGAATAGGTCTGCTTCAAACTTCTGCTTGTATTTTGTATTCTGATCTGGTAACTTGGATGTTAGTCCTGGCACATAATTTGTTTTGCAGCCTCACAGAGTACGCTTCTTCAAGACAACGTGCTGGAATTGGTTCAGTCTTGCTTACAACAGCACCAAGGCCATTGATGAAGCTCTTCCATTCTGCTTTCTTAAAACTAAAGCACTAGCAGACCGGTACTGAATTCAGTGTTAAGGGTGCATTGATCTGGAATCAGACCCATACTAAGTTTGTTACATGAACCAGTTACATTGTTGCAAACAAATGCCATATCAGGGTTAGAGCCAGGTTTCCCTTGGCTGCTGTTGAAAGAACTGGGGAGCTTGTGGTCATGAATTAAGCATGGAAAAGGACCTAGGGGTGACAGTGGACGAGAAGCTGGATATGAGTCAGCAGTGTGCCCTTGTTGCCAAGAAGGCCAATGGCATTTTGGGATGTATAAGTAGGGGCATAGCAAGCGGATCGAGGGACATGATCGTTCCCCTCTATTCGACATTGGTGAGGCCTCATCTGGAGTACTGTGTCCAGTTTTGGGCCCCACACTACAAGAAGGATGTGGATAAATTGGAGAGAGTCCAGCAAAGGGCAACAAAAATGATTAGGGGTCTGGAACACATGACTTATGAGGAGAGGCTGAGGGAGCTGGGATTGTTTAGCCTGCAGAAGAGAAGAATGAGGGGGGATTTGATAGCTGCTTTCAACTACCTGAAAGGGGGTTCCAAAGAGGATGGCTCTAGACTGTTCTCAATGGTAGCAGATGACAGAACGAGGAGTAATGGTCTCAAGTTGCAGTGGGGGAGGTTTAGATTGGATATTAGGAAAAACTTTTTCACTAAGAGGGTGGTGAAACACTGGAATGCGTTACCTAGGGAGGTGGTAGAATCTCCTTCCTTAGAGGTTTTTAAGGTCAGGCTTGACAAAGCCCTGGCTGGGATGATTTAACTGGGAATTGGTCCTGCTTCGAGCACGGGGTTGGACTAGATGACCTTCTGGGGTCCCTTCCAACCCTGATATTCTATGATTCTATGATTCTATGATTCTATGTGCATCTGCTCATGATTCAACTAGTTCACCATTTTCATCAGTTATGCTATAGCTTTGACACTGTGACTTAGTCACCAATCACCCACATTTTGTCACGTTTGAGGTTATGTGGACTAGTAAACTTGGAATTATTTGTATGGCAGTTTGTAGACAGATGTGATAGAAATGCCACCCGTGTCTACAATCAGGTCTTCAATGTCATTATTAGGTAGACCTAAGTAGCCAATTTTAAGGCATCTACATAGAAAAAAGTGCTTAATGCCCAGAAGCTCCCATTGCTCTTAGGCCACTTCTGCTTAGGTGCCTAAGTTTAGACAACCATTTTTTAAAAAAAATCAAAGCCTAAGGACAGTGCACCAGAACATTATGGTCCTGGTAGAACTGGTGGTCTTCCAATTAGATTCTGAAGGCAAACAAAACAAAGATGCTCTCTATCTTCCTATCTGCAGGGTTTTTTGGGGAAGAAAACAGCCTCAATAGAAATTGAAATGCCACTTCTATTAAGGATGCCACTTCAGCATCAGCTGCCACATGACTTCTCCAAAATGGGAATACATTCTAATATATTTGCCCTTAGATTTAGTTTGCTCATCCTCTCCCTCTGGCTGGATTCCAACATCAACAGAAGCCACCATCTTTCTCCCCAGAGTTTAAAACACTTCTGCTTCCTTGGCATGGTGTGGTGCCGGGGGCGCGGTTACTGTGACTAAAGCAGAGACCTACCTTTGCTCTGGGGGAAAGAGCTTGTGCTGTTGAGCTGTAGGGCGTTGTGTGACTTTCTTGTGTTTTCTGGTGTTTGACTTTTTTACTTTTGTCTATTACACAAGGGTTTTATTTCCTCAGCCCTTTCAGAACACCAGTTCCTTTTTTTGTTAGTTGGGGCTCCCATCTGGAACTTAACTTCAGGGTGGTCCTAAGCCTCTGATATGCAACTGAAGGAGTAATGTGTAGGTAGATCCTTGTAACACCCCAGATCCTTCCCTTGGGAATAAGCAGGCAAATAGCAGAAAAGACATCCTACCAAATGGCTCACTCATTCATTAAGCACTTGAGAAAGATTCCTGGTGGTTTTTTTTTCTTTTCTTTAAGTGGATTGGACTAGGAGATTTGGGGGAATTTTTGGATTTAGTCCAAAGAATCCTCGTTAAGAGTTTGTTGAGCCCTTGTTACTGAAGAGGACTGATTTAGCTTCATTGTCTGGTGTGGGGAAGAGGACACAGCATGCTGTCCAGATTGAGTCTGTTGCTAGTGTTGCGTAGGCTTTGAGCAGCTGTGGAGTTTCCCTTCTGCAGTTCTTGATATGATCTCTTTGCAGATGGAATGGCCCTTGGCCTTCAGCTTGCTTTGTTTTGCCTGCTCCACCATGATGTGGGATGGAGCTACAGAAGAGAAGCTGCTCAGCAGGTGGCCCCTGTTAGGGGAACACAGGTCTGGTAAGTTTGGTCTATGGGGAGATTCTACTTGATTCTGCCCCAAAATACGATTTTAAAAGCTAGGATGCTAGAAGAAGCAGTAGCACTGAACTGCTACACTTTTTGTGCTTCTGGAGGCGGAGAATGTAGCGGGAGGGCAAAGGGACATGGCCAGACTCAGAGCATCATGGACAAATTTGAACTGCATCCAATATTTGAAAGGAGAGGGGCACAGACTAATTGAATCAGGGTGATATCAAGTCAGAAACATTCTATCAAGGATGCCACTTCAGCATCAGCTGCCAAATGACTTCTCCAAACTGGGAATACATTCAAATATATTTGTCCATAGATTCAGTTTGCTCATCCTCTCCCTCTGGTTTGGAGTCCAACACCAACAAAAGCCATCATATACTTTTATGATGTATAAAAGTATACTCATAATACACTTGAAAAATAGGCTTCTTATTATTCGTCTCCTCTTTTTGTAGGTGGAGTAATACAAGCAGACGCATTAAGTGATTTTTCTCAAGGAAAAAGAAGGAACCAGTTTGAGCTAGGATTAGCTGCCTTCAGTTCTTGAGTCCCAGTCCTGTGTCCAGACCACTGCTCATTCTCTCTATTTTAAATCACTCTAAACGAAAAAGTTACCTTAAATATATGTAAATTAAGTAGTTTGGAGCTAATTTTACGAAATTAATGCATGAGTGTGGGAGGATAAGGTCAGAGTAACATAGCCTGGTATGCCATATGATGTATTAGAATCTGATTTGCTTCCATTTCCTCACACCCGTATCTTCATTTTCTCTTTACCAAAATTTAAATACCTAAAATTTGGGGAGATAACTAATAATTCTGTATTTACAGTACTCAATAATATACAGCTGCAAGTGCTACAAAGCATTGCTGTTAGTAATTTGAAATTCTCTTCTGACTACATTGCTGAATTTGCCTTGGAGATAACTTTCCCCCAGCAGCAATAAAAAGGAAAAACCTGTGCTATTCTACTGTTGAAGTAATTTTACAGTTCCTGATTAATATTGCTGTACCATGAATTAAACAGCAACCATTTCTCTGACTGGCTAATGGTTATCACATAAAGCACAGAACCCTCTTGAGTGGATTCAACTTAGACTTACAGAATGGGAAATTATCTCATTTATTTAATTCAGTGGAACTCCAGTCATCACAAACAATGGAGCAGATTTCATTTTTTGTGAAAGAATAACTGATCTTTGGTTAATTTGTCTAATTGTAGGAGGTGGTTAAGAGTATTTACTTTAAATTTCTTATAAGCTTCTCAAAGAGATGAAATCAGTCTCTTGATATTATTCAAAAATAATTGAATAATACAATTTCAGACAGATTACATAGTATTTACCACTTGTCAAAGCTGTTTAGTATTTTAGATGTCAACGTGTTGCTTTGCAGGTGTTTAGGGTTTTTTAAACAAACAAAATCAAAGTTTTTTTCCCCAAATGCCCCATATTTTAGCAAGTCAGGCAGGCATTCAGATCATACAACATCCTTTTTCCTTATAGCCTTCCTGGCTCTTTCTCCTCATCGTAGGGACTTCTCTGCTACCAAAAACAATGATGAAGCATGGAGCTGGTACGGGGGATCTTGCAAGTGATATAATTTAAGGAATATATATGATGTGGTTCTGTATATTATTTATGTATTTATTTTGTGAAACAATAGCATAGCCAATTCTTGAACACCCTTACCTGCCCTCATATACTAGCTCAAATGCATAGCCATGAAAGTTGTGGACTTATGCTGTATTAGGACTCCATCCTATAAACCATTTTGTGGGTTTTGTTCTTAATACTGAATGAAAATTATAAATGTACAATTGATATAAAAAAACATGTTCAGTGGGCACTAACTGGGTCTCTCCCTTCCAGCCTCACTTGAGGTGCCAAGGAATGAAGAGGCAGAGAGTAAACCATACACCTCAAGGGCTCCCCTAAATGAGGAGAGAAACATATTAGTTATGTAGTGTGGGAAAGTGCATGTTACTTCTCTTGCTGTATCTGTACAATGGTGATCTCCGATTTGGTCAGTCTGGCACTTTTTACAAGCACCAAAAGCAATCAGTTTTCTAAAACTGATTCTACTCATTAGCCTGTGAATGAAAAGCTTAACCCAATGCAGCATGCTGGCTTCTTAAATTTTTAAAAACTGACAGAATTAGAATATTAATTGCCTCATTTTTAGAAACACTGAGCAACCCCAGCTCACACTGAAAACTGGACCATACATGCTCTCATTAAATATACCTGGCCAAAGGAAAATACCACAAAATTAACCATTTCTATTTTCAATCCAATAAAATGTGTAGGGAAACAAGGCGATTATAATGATTCCTTTATTATATATTTTCTTAATATATTTATATCTGTGCATGCACAATAATACTGCCACAATTGTGTCTAGTACAGCATTACAATGAAAAGGTATCTGATACCTGAATTTTGATTTTGTAAGAAGTTTTTTACTGCTACTATTGCCTTATTTGAAACGAACACTGGTTCTCTTTGTTCAGTTAGACTTGCACAATATTTCACATCCAAAAACCATCACATACAAATTGACATAAATGGCAATCTTTGAAAATTACATTACATGAAGAAGGTTGCTTCCATTACATTCAAGGAAAGATGTCCTACTGCTGAAGGAAGAGTATCAAGTTTGTGTTACAGTCTCTGTATCACACCTGGATGGGGAATACTGGAATTCATTATCTAGCAATGCAAAGCATTCAGTCTTCAGAAGCATAGAGTAAATATCATGACCAAAATCAAATGCTTATGTTACTAAAACTCATCATTATTTTGGAGGGAGGCAAAGGCATAGCCTCTTTCCTTATGAAGAATCTGTCATGGTTGTATTAAAGCTATCATGTAATACCAAAAATATGTTGCAAGGACCTTGAGTCATAAAAATCAAGAAAATTTAGAATTAAGACTAGAATTTCATCTGTCATAACTAGCACCGAGATACTGAGCCATGTACAGTACGGTATATAAAACATGCTCTTGAAATTCTCATGCACAATGGATTCAGCCTCTCAAAACCTAGATTGAAATGAACATTGTTGTATTTACATTTCAGACTTGTATTTAAGTATCTGTTTGTAACAAACGCCCTGAATAAATATTTATTCAGTAGTCATTCATAACTCCTTTTGGATCATCTTCCAGAACCACTAGTCCAAACAGAGCTTCTACACAAACACACACACTTACTTGGGACGGGCATTAAGGATACTGCACTATTGAGACTATGGAGTTCTTTAAATTGAATTAATACATTCCTAATGTTATCAGGCCACAGTATTAAAATGTTGAAATCTATACTACTACTAAAACAACTACGAGTCTGGTGGCACCTTAAAGATTAACAGTTTTATTTGGGCATAAGCATCTATGCATCTGAAGAAGTGGGTTTTTTACCCACGAAAGCTTATGCCCAAATAAATGTTAGTCTTTAAGGTGCCACCGGACGACTCCGTTGTTTTTGTGGATACAGATTAACATGGCTACCTCTCTGATACTATATTACTATTAAGTCAATCTACACAGAGAGATGCTAATTAACTTGCTGTGTTAATACAGCAAGTTAATTTAAGTGAATTTATTACTTATGAAGGGTGCTAGAGTAAGAGTTCTAGAGACTGGAGGACTATTTATACCCAGAACGGGTACAACACAGTGGGAGCAATATGAACTTCCCTACACTGCCCTGCTAATGTGTCTCAATCCTGATCTAGAGGAATGACCTCTAGGTGATAAGAGGGGATAAGAGAGTAGCAGGTTCAGTCCCTGGTGTCTCTGGTTATTGCCCAAAGTGCCAATTGTGATGGTCACTTTGCTGTCTGAACACCTGCTCACCAGGGAGTGGACTGAGCCTGCCTACTCATTCAATATAGGTCACAGAACAATTAACATGGTCAGTCCTTAAAAAGAAAAAGTTGGAGGAGAGAGTATATAGGTGGTTCTATCATTCCCTTACTTCTCCCCGCTGATCATTTAATTTTTTTAAAAATTTAAGCATAAGAGCAAGCCATTACTATTTCAACGGCAAATATGCCAGCATTTCTCTCTCTACCCCAATTTCAAAACCAAGATGGCACTGACTGTTGCTACCTACCTAAACTGGATTTGAACCAATGAGTTATTGGTAAAAGATTTCACATTTCCACTGACGATCCCCTGAGCCATCTTGCTCTCTACGGTTTTTACTTCATGCACCAAATAAAAAGAAAGAAAAACAAAACACACACACACACCAATTTCATTTGCATGGCTGACACTTAAAAATCTCTTTAGTTAGGGACCTGTTGCAGTATCGAAAGATACTGCTTGATGCTTTTAGATGTCCCCTTATGTTATACAAGCATTTTTCAAAAAAATAAAGAAGAGTCAGAACTGGGTCACATCAAGCAAGGATAATTAAACTTTTTGCTGTAGCAAAAATTCAGTTTTATAAATATTTGGCAGTAACTTCAGCTCCACATTAAATCTTATTCTAAGCAAAAATGGGGCAGTAGAGGCGTAGGGGAGGTACAAAAGGACTTTGTTCATTCCCAAAACATGACTATCTTTGACTCACAGGAAGACTCTAAACCAACATGGATACCACCTTTCCCCTTAAAAACATGCCCAGAATGAAATTAACTCATTTTGACAATACAAGAATTTGACAAGAATATTAAATAAGTTGCTAAAAAATACATAGCAAAATATACATACAGTATACACATTTAGCCACTTCTTGTCACTGAGTAAACTTGTTTCCAAAGCTAAAAATTAACTGATTGTGGAGATGAACATCTCTCTCTTCACTGAGATGATGTGTTTCAGGGAAGAGTTTTATGCAAACATACAATTCATAGTAGGTGCAGGTGCAGGAGCCACCATAAAACACTTCTGACTAGTGGACTAACAGTAATCTTGCAAGAATAACTTTCTTTTTTAAAAAGGCAAGTTAGATGTCATTGTATATTTTAAATTATGGCTGCTGTAAAATTATAATCTCAGTGTATTAAAGGATCAAGAAACAAGCACAACAATTGATCAAATTTTCATTTTTGTTTAATTTAGTAACTAGAGAATGAAACTGTTTCAAAGCAAGCTCCGCATTACTTCAAAAAAATCGAGCATTTAACATAATTCTAAAGAAAAACCTCAACCTCAATAAACACACAAATTAATAAAAAACCTGTACATATGTATTTTTCAGGAAGAAACTCAAAGGACTGTACCACAATATGAATTTCTGTATCTGACATACAACAATTTATAATCCATTTGTTGGTGATTAAGGACACAAAAAGCCATGCAACAATATTTGGTAGAAAATGAAATGGTAAAGCAATTGTTTGATATATTCAGTGCCAAATGAAGGCACTGAATTCCTTAAATAAAACAAATGCCAATATTATCATAAATCAGAAACACATTTATTGTCTTTCAGCTAAACTGGCTTCAATTACTTTTGTCTCTTTGAGCCAACCCTCTTGAGAGCCAGATACTTCCCTGTTTCCTGTCCACTAAAAACCAGGATATTCATTTTCTTCTTTGAGTCTACAAAGATGGCTCAAGGCAGGTGTGTCCTTGTCATTTCTGAGTCAGAAAACCCCTCTTCTGGAACAGAGGGTTCATAATCGCCTGCATTATCAGCCAATTCAATGTCTTGCTCATCATTACTCTCTGCACTGTAATCAACTTCTTCAAGGAAGCGAGGCTCATCTTCATCTAGAACATATGTAGTGGGGCTGTAGAAAGACAACACACAATAGGTTGCATTAATCGCTTTTAAAGATTTAAATTCAGCTACAGTCAGAAAGACAATGTACTTCCTTATCTTGAGCTAAATGAATAATTCAAAATGATACTCGTTTTAATGTAAGAAAATCAGACTAATAGGAATAATTAACCTGAATAATGCATATAAACAGTGAGCCAAAATGACATTTATAAAGCTAACAAATTAATATCATAGACACACACTACATAGGATATATATGTAAAATATAAAGAAATTATACACAATTTAAAAGTCATTGAACGGGAGTAAGTTAGCTTTTTAGGTATGTTAGAGGGCTTATTCCTTCACCCGCTTACTTCCCTGGTCCTTCTTGCATGAACAGAGAGCAACAATACCCGAAGTCCAAAGGTACAGACAATTCGATGTTTATGGGGGTGAACTTCCAGCAAGCATGATTCCAGTTTCCTTCCTTAGTGTCCCCCTTCCCAGCTCTGACACCACAGAGCCTACCTGTGTCCCTGCTCCCATTTCCGCCCCTTAGCAAAACATGATTCCAATTTCCCCATTCCGTTCCCATTCCCCCCCCCCCCCTTACTTCCTGATTGACTGAAGACTATATAGTAAAACTTGAGTTCTGCTTAGCTATACCTTAACCTATCATTTTCCTGAAATTTAACTAACCAATCCTAACATATTGTAACATGATTATTTAACCAACTATATCCCACCACCTTAATTAGTTTACACCCAGCAAAATTAATTATACAGCAAACAGAAACAATCACGGAACCAGACAGAGACCAGGCAAATAAACAATAGCAAAGTGGGAACTATAATGACAAAATAATACAGAAGTGAGGATTTCACAACTACATCTATAAAGACATAAGGGTTTCCCAGCTGTGTCTATTGATAAGTGAGTTCTTACTGAACAGAAAACTATCAAACTAAACTTCCTTTTACATCCTCTAGGCTCTTCCCTTTCTCTGGAGGTGATAGATCAGATCACCTTTCTAACAGCCCCAGATTGCCTGATTTCAACGTGACTAGTTTGGAATGTGAGGATATGACCATATGCGTCCCAGCTTATGGCTGCCTCTGCTGCTTAGCCAGAGATCTTAGCCTAAGAACAGAGCCTCAGACTGTCACAGTAAGAGCAGGCCCTTACACCGGCAGACAGCGATTTTGATTTTCTTTTATACCTCTATAACTAGCTAAGTGATAAGAATACACCTAAATTCTTAGAGTATAGGCCTTACAGACAGGTCTGAATATCTATACCCTAATAAGGTGCTACTATATAACATACAGAATATGTATTAACTGTGATAGGGACTGAACAGATACAAGAAAACGTAGACCCTGCTGTCAAGAGCTTCCAACTTTAGTGTTTTAAATTATAAGCTCGTTTTCAGATTGTAAACTTATGTTTTAATTAAAAAAAAGTTATTAATTAGTTTGAAAAATGTTACAAAGAGCACTTTTGACTAGTTTGTAAATGAAAGCTTAAGTACTCACAAAGCAGGGGGTTAAGCCTTCTTTTGTATGCAAAATTATCAAGGTTATTTGAAAATTGTTAAACTTATTCATACTTTGCATAGATTAGTTTTTGAACATCTTATCTTAAATCCTGCAGTTCACAGGCAGCAGTTAACTTTAAGAAGCTGAGTAAGTGACTATGGGATATTCTAAATGGTTTCTAGAGTAATGTGCTAAACTAATTTCTTCCAAGATTCTAAAATGATTATCTACCATTAGAGTAAACCAAGACTGAATAGGCCTTTTTCACTACCCCAGAGTTTCCTATTATGAGAAAAAATAAAAATTGAATTTTTCGTACCCAGGTTTATTATTGTCCCTTGGGACACAGAATAAAGCTATTTGCTTAAAAGCACTAAATGCTTCTAAATATTTCATAAAGTAAGTAGCTCTGAGTTCGGATGAGGTCCTAGAAAGGATCTGCAACTTACCCATTTTAAATTCATAATCAAATCATATAGATTCCCCATTAGGTTTGCCAAATGTTTCTACATTGGAAGAGCTGGAACTAAGGAATCAATAATAACCAGATACAACTCATAAAAACACAACAGGTGTGTTAGGAACATGTAAGGTGGTCTGGTTTGGGTTATTGTGTTAGGATCATTAAACAAAGTATTTCAAAGTTATACATTTGAATTTTTACAACTTTTTTTTTTGAGGTACACTATAGGATCTCTTGACAGTAGCTCTGCATTTAATTTCATTACTGTTTCCACTCTAAAGCTCTTTTAAAGAGTAAGCAAAGGACCATTATAATTTGCAATGGGCTGAAATTTGGTACAAATATTTTTCACTGAGCGTATTCTCTGTACCTTCAAACCTCAAGTGAAGTGTGCAACTGACAGCTAAGATTCACATACTGGGAACATGACCAAAAAACCTGGACTTTTTAGTTTAAAAATAGATTTTAAAAGTACTAAAAATCAAAGGCCTAACAAATTAAATTAGCGCACACAAAAGAGAGCGAGACTAGGCTACTGTATATTACATTTACCCTTTAAATTTTTCAGAATAAGGGTTAAGAGCTTGGTTGTGCTTACTAAATACCACAAAAAGAAAAGCAATACAAAACTAAATGTGTTTAACTATTGTTATTTAATATTTTGGTGGCACCCACAGACCCCAACTAGGGCCAAGGCTAATTATGCTAGATGTTGAACATACATATATTGGGTGTCTACCCTAATCAGTTTACATTCCAAAAAGACAAGCAACATATGAAGGGTTAAGGAGAGGGATACAATCAGGTACTCTGACTGGCACAAATAAACTTATAACAAGACTGTTATTCTAGTGCCTTTACATGAGGCTCACAAGGCACTTCACAAGCATTAATGAATTAAGTCTTCAAGGTATCCTTGTTTTACAGATAGGGATACAACATGGCACTGAACATCTATGGCAGGGCCAGTAACAAAAGCCAGATCTCCTGACTCCCCATCCCGTGATTTAACGATGTGACTATTTTCCTTCCTCTAGAAAATCATAATCCACCAACACCTACTTCATTTGAAGGAAAATAGGTTGAAATTTTCATTCATCTCTTTGGAAAATTACTCCCTGCAAGAAACCACACTCAAAACACATCTCATCTCAACAAGTGTGTAGACTATTCTGGGATTTCTGCTTCGGATCACTCAACACAGATATTGATTTGCTAGATTACACATACAAGGAGTTCCCACTGCAATTGCAGGATATTCTGTAAAAAGAAAAGGAGTACTTGTGGCACCTTAGAGACTAACAAATTTATTTGAGCATAAGCTTCCATGAGCTACAGCTCACTTACACGGCTGCTACTCTGAAACAGGATATTCTGTGTAATTCAATTCACAGGAAATGCAGCCATTAATTCTGAACACTGCCCTCATTAACTCATAGTTGTGAGAACTGAAAAGTTTCACAAAATTAATTTTTGCAGTGCCAATGACATGTTTTTCTAGCCAGTGCTACCATGAAGTTAACGTATAAAAATGTATTACAATAGACACTTATAAAATTGATTTGTTTAGTTGCATGTAACTTAGGATAACAGAGAATGCAATGGAGTCTTCTGCAAGAGATACTCTCTCTCTCCATCAGGTAAGTTTACTGTAGTTTTTAAAAAAATTATTTTACACATACACAGTCCAGAACATGTTGCAACTGTCTTAATGATTACGCAGAGAACTGGACATTTCAGCAAGCCACCTTCACTTCTAGGAGCTTACATTCTGTTTACCAAGTGACAGACTATGTCCCAGTCTACATTCTGAATTCTAAAAAAAACAGAGTATTGTGGCACCTTAGAGACTAATACAAAATTTATTTGGGCATAAGCTATGTATAAGGGGTGTGTGTGTGTGTGTAAAATCTTCCTCCTATATTTTTCACTGCATAAATCCGATGAAGTGGGTTTTAGCCCACGAAAGCTTATGCCCAAATAAATTTGTTCGTTTCTAAGGTGCCACAAGCACTCACTCTTTTTGCTGATACAGACAAACACGGCTACCACTCTGAATTCTGTGTTACAATATGCGTACAAGACAGTTGCAATACGCATATAAGACGGAAAATTATTGCTATTTTAACTCCGTTTTAGGTCAACAACTAGCAAGTAGTATTAAAAACAAGCCAATACTGCAGCTTTGTCTCAAAAGAGGCATCAGGGAACACTTAGGCATGTCAAGTTTTTCTTTTTAACATGTTTCAGAGTAACAGCCGTGTTAGTCTGTATTCGCAAAAAGAAAAGGAGTACTTGTGGCACCTTAGAGACTAACCAATTTATTTGAGCATGAGCTTTCGTGAGCTACAGCTCACTTCATCGGATGCATACCGTGGAAACTGCAGCAGACTTTATATATACACAGAGAATATGAAACAATACCTCCTCCCACCCCACTGTCCTGCTGGTAATAGCTTATCTAAAGTGATCATCAAGTGGGCCATTTCTAGCACAAATCCAGGTTTTCTCACCCTCCACCCCCCCACACAAATTCACTCTCCTGCTGGTGCTAGCCCATCCAAAGTGACAACTCTTTACATAATCAAGTCGGGCTACTTCCTGCACAAATCCAGGTTTTCTCACATCCCCCCCACCCCCATACACACACAAACTCACTCTCCTGCTGCTAATAGCTCATCCAAACTGACCACTCTCCCAGTTTAAATCCAAGTTAAACCAGAACATCGGGGGGGGGGGTAGGAAAAAACAAGGGGAAACAGGCTACCTTGCATAATGACTTAGCCACTCCCAGTCTCTATTTAAGCCTAAATTAATAGTATCCAATTTGCAAATGAATTCCAATTCAGCAGTTTCTCGCTGGAGTCTGGATTTGAAGTTTTTTTGTTTTAAGATAGCGACCTTCATGTCTGTGATTGCGTGACCAGAGAGATTGAAGTGTTCTCCGACTGGTTTATGAATGTTATAATTCTTGACATCTGATTTGTGTCCATTTATTCTTTTACGTAGAGACTGTCCAGTTT